AGTATATATATATATATATATATATAGCCTACACACACACACGCACACATAAATATATTTTACAAAAGAAACTGATTCAGAAACAGACCTCATAATTGTCTGATACATATATACGTACACACACACACATATATATATATATATATATATATATATATCCAACATAACATTTGAATGTTCAGTGATGACACAATATTATTACATTATCAGCATCAATAGATGTGTACTTCAAGGTGCACATTTTCATGTTATCAAATATTTTCTAATTTTGAGCAATATTTCAGCAATTTTCACACTGCAGCTGACTTTTTTGTTCAGGAAAGAAAAAAACGGTAATTTTATATGCTATACTTTTATACTAACATATACATTTTATATATATATATATATATATATATATACGGCCAATAGTCATTAATTTAAGCGATTAGTCGACTAATCACACATTTATATTAATTTAATTACTTTAATATATAAGCCTTTAATATATAGCCTATCCCACGCTCAAGCGCAGCCATTTAAAGCTTGCCGCAAAGCACCTGCAAAAGTAATGACTATGTGCCTGAAAAAATAGCAAGGAGATTTTTAAATTATTTATTAATAAACTAGTGTTTTCTGGGTCAGTGTCGGCTGCAAAGATGAAGCTAACAATGCTGACGCGCCATCTCCGCAGTACAGTGGATGCATCTTCAGAGAGAAATGCATTTTTATAATGATATATTAAATATAATATAAAATATACTATAATTTCATATAATATGTAATATCCAAAAAGTTATAAATTCTTCTAATATGTAATACTAATGATAATCTCTAAAAAGTCTAAATTCTAATAATACATAATACTAATAATATTTTAAAATATATTTTACATTCAAATTTTAAAGATAAAAATCATTATATTTGAATTAAAATTGACAATTTGACAAATTGACTTTTCTTAAAACTGAATTTTGTATATGTCATTTTATTATATTCTATTATGTTTATTTAAACATTATTATATCGACCATCCTGCTCTCTAGATATTGTATCTAGAGATAGCTTGTATCATATCATTTACAACCTCCTATTGGTCACCACTATTATTAACATTGTACGTCATTACTATAATATTCTTTCTGCTGCACAAACCAGATGTTAGGTTTATTTACCCATGTGAGCAAAAGACTATCAGCAAGTGTCTGTAGCTGAAGGAGGACACTGAATTCAGTATCTTTACCTTAGCGACCTTCCTCCAGTTATGACAATCAAAGAAGTAGTATGTTCCTCTCTCGTAGGTGTTGGTCTTTAGCGTGGGCTCCATGCCAGGTGCTCTTGTGATCCAAACCCTTTCCTCTTTATGGTACCGCCAGTCCCGGTTGAAGCTGCAATACAACAAAATGTTCCATTTAACCTCTCGACTTCAGCCTGCGGTTGGTTACCAGCAAAATTGTTTGGACAAAGATTCCTAGAATGACTTAATCAACAGGGCGTACAGCTCAACAGCAGAGAGGAGTTGTAAGAGGTCTCCTCCGTTCATGTAGTAGAGGTAAAAGAGCAGGTCTTCACCATATCGTCCCAGTTTTATTGCAGCCAGCTGTATAGAGCACATTATGAGGTCAGCGAGATCCACATATTACAATTTCAGTGCGGTTTTATTGAAGTGTATATCACCTCACCTTGTCCCTTATGTGAATGTTGGTTAAGTACTCTGAGGGAACATGGAAGTCTAAAAAACAATTGCATTTATTACTGAAGAGCCAAAATGAGTCGGTCATCTCTACAGGTTAAGGTCAAATGAACTCTTACCAATGTCTTGAGGTCGACATGGAGCTGAAGCCCAGGGAGATGCAAACTTAGGATACAGATTCCTGCACACCAAAAGAAAATTAATGTGTGGACAAAAAGAGAATAATGACAAGAAATCAAAATTTGGAACAAAAAAGTATCTTACTCTGGAGAGTTGAGGTTGAGTCCTAGCGTTGTTAGGTCGCTTCCTAAAGCCAGGTGAACCATCCCAGGGTCCGTCTCAGCTGCCCGGATGAATGTCAGGAGTCCAATCATTCCAAACTGATCTGTCACCATTCCTAAGGGAATGTTTGTTACCTTGCCTATAAAAGAAGAGAATAAATGTCAAATGCGATTGAGAGTGTCCGATGAACAGGGTTTCTACATCTTTTGATCAATTCATTTCCATGAATTTTCCAGCAGATGCAGATTTTTTTTTGTGTGTGTGCAAAAAACTATTTCAAGTCAGGGTTATTATAGTTAACCAAAACCATAAAACAGGTTTTGTTACTTGAAACAAAATAAACTTTAACGGAAAAATAAAATATAAAAAAATATACCTTACACTTATTTCACTTATTTTATTTCAGCTAGTTGCTAAAGCAACATTTCTCACTTTCATTTAGTTCATCTTGATGTACTAAGATAACAAACTGAAAGAAAAAAAAAAGAATAAAAACTATATAGACATATAAAAAACTAATAAAAAATGACAAAAACAAATAACAAAATGCCTAAACTTTAACTACAACAAAAACCCTCAAAATATAAAAACTCGAAATATTAATAAAAACATAATATCCCAATGGTACAAAAATAACCGTTTCTGATCAGATTAAATATTCAGAGTTCTAGTGTAATTATATTTTAGCTACTCTGAACATAGCTACAAATATATATATATATATTTGTTTATTATAATATTGTACATATATTACAGGCCTATATATACACACAATTTTTTTGTCACAATAAAAACTATTGATTATTTTATTTTTCAGTTATTTTTGTTAATAAATAATTTTGTCTTTTTACTTTATAATGTATTAACATTTAAATTGAAATTATTTTATATTAAAATTTTTATCTTTTCATTTTTTTAATTTGTATATTTTTATATCTAAAACCTAAATGTTGTAAATAATTTTTATTTATAATAAAAATGTCCATTATTTAATGATGATTTAAGATGTTAATGATTTCCATTACTTTTCATGGGGTTGGGATTATTATTATTATTTAAATAGACCCTGAACTGGGAATCCTGACTGTTGCATTGAAAGTTTGAAACCTTCTAGAACAGATTCTTGATTAAAAAACTTGCACATGATTTGTTTTATTCAGTAGTCGTGTTTTCAAAGCTGGGGAGTCTCTGGCAGTTGTCTGAAATACAGTAGTGCATGTTGCTAGAGAGCCTCACCATCAGGCAACACCTGGATCCCCTTCTTTTGCTGGTTGTTATTCTGTGCTGATGATGTCTTGTCGCCGGGAAACTTGGGTCCATCTGCACTTGAGCTGCCCTTTCCTGAAGAGTTCAAGCTCTGTGGAGACAGCAAAGGCCAGAACAATGGGTTAAAGGTCAAGCAATCGTCGCAGCACTGGACGGCATCACTTAAATTTTAATAGCCGCACATCTTTACCCATCCTGCAAAACAATGACACATGTTATTTATGCAATCTCTCTCTGAAGCTTATGAGAAATCAAATTCAGGCAATACTGACTGATTTGCTTTCATCCGTGCTCAATGTCGGGTCCTTGTAGTTGGGCCCGGGCAGGGCTGGGAAGTCTTCGTTGTGAATGGAAAAGTCCTGCGACTGTTCGTTCGATGGCTTTGTGACCATTCCAACTATGGAGAGATGCATTTTAACAAAGGTTTGTGGGTTATTGTGAGGAAATAAAAATAAAACCACTGACCTTGTCATGCATTCACAACACATCATCCATTGAAGGAGAAGCGTGCTTAGTCATAAAGACTAAGAGGGTTTCGGTTTCAGCTAAGTAATGCGACTGTGTAAAATGAACTCGTACCATAGGGTGCCCTTCCAGCCAGCGGATTATGCAACGGTGTTGGGTTGCCATTTCCCTCCCTCCGACTTCTGTCTGCAAGTGCTGGGAATTCTGAGAGGTCTATTCCTGTCACATTTTCACTCCCATCTACCACAATAGCGGAAAGAATAAAATGAGAATGAGTTATTTCTCTTTCCAGAACACAATTTAAGCGTCATGGTTCCTGTCATGGTGTATCATCACGAAACATGTTCCATGCAGCACTCACCTGTCCCGTTGAAGATGTTATTGGATAAGGAGTTCATGCCAAACCCCTGGCTCCGGCCCATTCCAAATCCTGACATACTACAATGACACACATGAGGATTTGACCCTTTTGTTAAGGTCAGTCTTAATCTGTCTTGACTGGCCTTATCTTGGCCTAAGGTGAAAGTTAATTAAAATACATTATATGTACTTAAGATTATGAGAAGCCACTTTTTAACAGTATCTTTAATTTTAGTAATAAACAAAGGAGAAGTGTATTGATAACAGGAGACATCTTTCAAAAACATAAAAAATCTTCCACTACAGTTTAAAGTTTGGGGTTGATATCTTACTTTTTTTTAAATCACATACATGCATTTTAATGCTTTGCAAACTTACACATTTGGTTCTCTATGGCATTTGTGAATTCTACTTGTCAACTTTTTAATGTTGCTGACACAGAACGACTTGTGACAGTCTTGGTTGTATCAGAATCGGCTGAATATACAAACCAGTCATAAATAATCAGTTTTTTTCAGTGTTTTATTTCTGTTCTCAAGCTTCCAGTATAATGATAACAGCACAATTTTCAGCAATTATTGCAAATAAAAAATGTAAACACATTTTTAAATACATAAAAGTATACATTTGAAATTAGTAAAATAAATATACAATTACATTCATGTAACTGTAATGTTTATTATATTATATTATATTTTATTTATGGCCTGTCAAGAAAAAACTACTAGCCTAACTCTTAATCCTTACTGATGAGCCGTGTCATAAAGATAATTCAAAGACATTCTATTGTTGTGGCAAATGAAAGAAGTAAACATTATAATTCATGAATTTCATTCACTTCAGAAGTCACTTTATAATTTGTTTCATTCTCATATCATTGAGCACAATCTGACCACTGTCCTGGCACTGGTAATGTTTCTGCATTACAGGTGCATCTCAATAAATTAGAATGTCGTGGAAAAGTTCCTTTATTTCAGTAATTCAACTCAAATTGTGAAACTTGTGTATTAAATAAATTCAATGCACACAGATTGAAGTAGTTTAAGTCTTTGGTTCTTTTAATTGTGGTGATTTTGGCTCACATTTAACAAAAACTCACCAATTCACTATCTCAACAAATTAGAATATGGTGACATGCCAATCAGCTAATCAACTCAAAACACCTGCAAAGGTTTCCTGAGCCTTCAAAATGGTCTCTCAGTTTGGTTCACTAGGCTACACAATCATGGGGAAGACTGCTGATCTGACAGTTGTCCAGAAGACAATCATTGACACCCTTCACAAGGAGGGTAAGCCACAAACATTCATTGTCAAAGAAGCTGGCTGTTCACAGAGTGCTGTATCCAAGCATGTTAACAGAAAGTTGAGTGGAAGGAAAAAGTGTGGAAGAAAAAGATGCACAACCAACCGAGAGAACCGCAGCCTTATGAGGATTGTCAAGCAAAATCGATTCAAGAATTTGAGTGAACTTCACAAGGAATGGACTGAGGCTGGGGTCAAGGCATCAAGAGCCACCACACACAGACGTGTCAAGGAATTTGGCTACAGTTGTCGTATTCCTCTTGTTAAGCCACTCCTGAACCGCAGACAACGTCAGAGGCGTCTTACCTGGGCTAAGGAGAAGAAGAACTGGACTGTTGCCCAGTGGTCCAAAGTCCTCTTTTCAGATGAGAGCAAGTTTTGTATTTCATTTGGAAACCAAGGTCCTAGAGTCTGGAGGAAGGGTGGAGAAGCTCATAGCCCAAGTTGCTTGAAGTCCAGTGTTAAGTTTCCACAGTCTGTGATGATTTGGGGTGCAATGTCATCTGCTGGTGTTGGTCTATTGTGTTTTTTGAAAACCAACGTCCCTGCACCCGTTTACCAAGAAATTTTGCACTTCATGCTTCCTTCTGCAGACCAGCTTTTTGAAGATGCTGATTTTATTTTCCAGCAGGATTTGGCACCTGCCCACACTGCCAAAAGCACCAAAAGTTGGTTAATGACCATGGTGTTGGTGTGCTTGACTGGCCAGCAAACTCACCAGACCTGAACCCCATAGAGAATCTATGGGGTATTGTCAAGAGGAAAATGTGAAACAAGAGACCAAAAAATGCAGATGAGCTGAAGGCCACTGTCACAGAAACCTGGGCTTCCATACCACCTCCATGCCACGCTGAATTGAGGCAGTAATTAAAGCAAAAGGAACCCCCTCCAAGTATTGAGTACATGTACAGTAAATGAACATACTTTCCAGAAGGCCAACAATTCACTAAAAATGTTTTTTGGTCTTATGAAGTATTCTAATTTGTTGAGATAGTGAATTGGTGGGTTTTTGTTAAATGTGAGCCAAAATCATCACAATTAAAAGAACCAAAGACTTAAACTACTTCAGTCTGTGTGCACTGAATTTATTTAATACACGAGTTTCACAATTTGAGTTGAATTACTGAAATAAATGAACTTTTCCACGACATTCTAATTTATTGAGATGCACCTGTACACACAAATTGTTTTCACAATATAAACTATTTTTATGATGTATTGAGTTATTTAAATTTTACAATTTATTAACATTTAAATTTATATCAATGTATATATTTTTATTTTTTAATAAAATGACAAATGTTGTAAATATTTTTTTATTTATAATAAAAATGTCCATTATTTAATCATGATTTAAGATGTTAATGACTGCTATTACTTCTCAGGGGCTTGGAATTATTATTATTAAATATTTTTAAATACACCCTGAACTGGGAACCCTGCCTGTTGCATCGAAACCTTCTAAAACAGATTCTTGAAGAAAATACTTGCACTTGATTTGTTTTATTCAACACTCATGTTTTCAAGCTCGGGACACTTTGGCAGTTGTCTGAAATACACCACTGTATTTCAGACAACTGCCAAAGTGTCTGAAAATGTTAATAAATTGCATGTTGCTAGAGAGCCTCACCATCAGGCAACACCTGGATCCCCTTCTTTTGCTGGTTGTTATTCTGTGCTGATGATGTCTTGTCGCCAGGAAACTTGGGTCCATCTGCACTTGAGCTGCCCTTTCCTGAAGAGTTCAAGCTCTGTGGAGACAGCAAAGGCCAGAACAATGGGTTAAAGGTCAAGCAATCGTCGCAGCACTGGACGGCATCACTTAAATTTTAATAGCCGCACATCTTTACCCATCCTGCAAAACAATGACACATGTTATTTATGCAATCTCTCTCTGAAGCTTATGAGAAATCAAATTCAGGCAATACTGACTGATTTGCTTTCATCCGTGCTCAATGTCGGGTCCTTGTAGTTGGGCCCGGGCAGGGCTGGGAAGTCTTCGTTGTGAATGGAAAAGTCCTGCGACTGTTCGTTCGATGGCTTTGTGACCATTCCAACTATGGAGAGATGCATTTTAACAAAGGTTTGTGGGTTATTGTGAGGAAATAAAAATAAAACCACTGACCTTGTCATGCATTCACAACACATCATCCATTGAAGGAGAAGCGTGCTTAGTCATAAAGACTAAGAGGGTTTCGGTTTCAGCTAAGTAATGCGACTGTGTAAAATGAACTCGTACCATAGGGTGCCCTTCCAGCCAGCGGATTATGCAACGGTGTTGGGTTGCCGTTTCCCTCCCTCCGACTTCTGTCTGCAAGTGCTGGGAATTCTGAGAGGTCTATTCCTGTCACATTTTCACTCCCATCTACCACAATAGCGGAAAGAATAAAATGAGAATGAGTTATTTCTCTTTCCAGAACACAATTTAAGCGTCATGGTTCCTGTCATGGTGTATCATCACGAAACATGTTCCATGCAGCACTCACCTGTCCCGTTGAAGATGTTATTGGATAAGGAGTTCATGCCAAACCCCTGGCTCCGGCCCATTCCAAATCCTGACATACTACAATGACACACATGAGGATTTGACCCTTTTGTTAAGGTCAGTCTTAATCTGTCTTGACTGGCCTTATCTTGGCCTAAGGTGAAAGTTAATTAAAATACATTATATGTACTTAAGATTATGAGAAGCCACTTTTTAACAGTATCTTTAATTTTAGTAATAAACAAAGGAGAAGTGTATTGATGACAGGAGACATCTTTCAAAAACATAAAAAATCTTCCACTACAGTTTAAAGTTTGGGGTTGATATCTTACTTTTTTTTTAATCACATACATGCATTTTAATGCTTTGCAAACTTACACATTTGGTTCTCTATGGCATTTGTGAATTCTACTTGTCAACTTTTTAATGTTGCTGACACAGAACGACTTGTGACAGTCTTGGTTGTATCAGAATCGGCTGAATATACAAACCAGTCATAAATAATCAGTTTTTTTCAGTGTTTTATTTCTGTTCTCAAGCTTCCAGTATAATGATAACAGCACAATTTTCAGCAATTATTGCAAATAAAAAATGTAAACACATTTTTAAATACATAAAAGTATACATTTGAAATTAGTAAAATAAATATACAATTACATTCATGTAACTGTAATGTTTATTATATTATATTATATTTTATTTATGGCCTGTCAAGAAAAAACTACTAGCCTAACTCTTAATCCTTACTGATGAGCCGTGTCATAAAGATAATTCAAAGACATTCTATTGTTGTGGCAAATGAAAGAAGTAAACATTATAATTCATGAATTTCATTCACTTCAGAAGTCACTTTATAATTTGTTTCATTCTCACATCATTGAGCACAATCTGACCACTGTCCTGGCACTGGTAATTCTGTACAGGTAATTCTTTTTAAATGTTGAACTGACAGTTTTAAAAAGTCTTACCAGTGTTTACTCTCTCTCGTTTGGCCAGTCTTACCTGTTGATGGTGAATGGCTGACGTGCTGGCTGCTGCTTGGGCATGCAGATAATGCTAGGAGAGCTGCGGTTAGGGCTACCCAGGCCAGAACTGCCCATGCTGTTGGTCCTGCCGCTCATGCCCATGCCCTGCCCTACCTGCGAACTCATCATGTTCCTGGAGTTCATAGGCAGGATGCCCCTGCGGAACATCAGCAAAGCCGGGATTAAGCAGATCACGTCATATATCAACATATATATCACGCAGAGGAGATGGCGTACCTGTTCGGCGAAGGTGGTGTGTGGAGGGACATTGTTGGGACGCCTGTTGTTGGGGTGCTATGGCTCGGGAACTGAGTGCCTTGT